ATTTATTTCATAGATCTTGTACCACTAATATACATGAACATAGATATCATTAAAAGTACTCTTCTCTCTTTTAGTGTGCTTACAAATGGAGAGAGGTATATTTGCATTAATAGCACCAACAAGTGATCCTTCATATGACACATTTGCTGCCTATTCAAACACATTCCAGATGCCATTTGTTAGTCCAGCATTTCCGCAACAAACGAGCTCCGACAGACCAGCCAATATTGGGGTTAGTTTGAGGCCTAAATATCTAAGAGCAGTTGTAGATATCATCAATTTCTACAAATGGAAAACGATCATCTATCTTTATGACTCCGATAATGGTAAGTATTTAAGTAATTTATTAATCATTGCTCGCGTTTGTAATTTAAAATAAATGGGAGGTTATGAATAATTCTCTGGATAATTGTACCACTGAATACAGTTGAATTCCCCTCAACCGTTCACCATTCATTTGGATTTGTTTCAATCAGGTTATTCAAAGTTAATTAATCGGATTAAATTTTGGTGAAGCACGATAAGTTACAAAAGTATTCAGGTAAAGAATGGTTTCTCATTGTGGGTATTGTTTGATATGCAGTATAAAATGGGCAGATATGTCTGAAATGGTTGTCAGATTTGATCATAATTGGAAAATTAAATTGAAATAGTTGCATTAAATTAAAATTCTTCAGGTAGCTTAAACATTTTGTAAGAGAATGTTAAATAACATTAACCCCTTCAAGCAGACATTTTTTGAAGAAAAACAAACAAACAAAATCAGTTTTTTTATGCAAAAGAATACACTTTAGAACATAGTCTTTTCTTTCGGTACTGCGTTTTTGTTCTATGGAAAAAAGCTATGTTCAGAGAGGCCAACTGCTCCGTACACGCCAAAATAATTGAAAAACGGTAAATAACTACAAAGAAAATTTTGCAAATATTTGATAATTTTCTTTCTTTTTCTTGATTTATAAGAAATTGGGCACCTGGGCCGCACTGAAGGCCCATATCCCATACATCAAGAAATAGTATAAAAAGTTTAAATAAGTTTGAGTTCAGCAGTCTATGGGGTGACTGTTACAGGAAGACAAGCACCTTGCTTGCATAACTGAAAGAAAATAAAAATAATAAGAGCAACTTGCTGTAAATATATGTAATAAAGAGTGCTTTCTGAATATTGTATTAATATGGCCAAAGCAAAATATATCAATACAATAGTGCGAGGAGCAACTTAAAAATTGAAGCGAAAATAGAGCATTTTAAGTAAAAAAATAAGACATGCCAAGCGAAGAACAGAAAATAAGTGTAAAAAGATACAAAATAAAATATAAAATTTAACCTATAAAGTGAATAGCGAATTAAAATAAATTTGCTCGCTCCAGAATTTTTCAAGAATTATTTAAAATATTTTTGCAATAAGTTCGCCAGATTTCAAAATATGAGAATTGAAGTGCAGAGGTTAGAAGTGTAAATTGAGGGAAATTTTTGGAGCGTTTTAGTTAAAGCATCTTGCGCTGCATTTTATTAACATATTCAGCATATATATGATTTACAAAATTTTAACTGTTTTCGTATTTTATCAAGTATACCACTTACATTTTTATCAATGTAATTATATTTTTAGTAACAATAGTTTTTTTTATATATTTTAATTACAAAAAATATCATTAATAACAATCGCTTAGTATAACATTTTTGAAATCTAGCGATATTTTAACTCAAGATAAATGTAATTCACACAATACAAGGATAGAGCATTATAATAACACTGGGGATCATTTTTTTCCTGTTGCATCATATGTTTGAACGGATCTCAGATATTTTGGCATTGCTGATTTCAAATCTGAAATTTGGCTTCACTCAACAAGCTACTGTTTTATACAATTTAATAACATAATTTAAACCGAGATTCTATAAAATTTATTCGAGTGATTACTATATGTTTTAATTACAAAAAATATCATTAATAACAATCGCTTAGTATAACATTTTTGAAATCTAGCGATATTTTAACTCAAGATAAATGTAATTCACACAATACAAGGATAGAGCATTATAATAACACTGGGGATCATTTTTTTTCCTGTTGCATTATATGTTTGAACGGATCTCAGATATTTTGGCATTGCTGATTTCAAATCTGCATTTGGTTTCACTCAACAAGCTACTGTTTTATACAATTTAATAACATAATTTGAACCGAGATTCTGTAAAATTTATTCGAGTGATTACTAAATGCTACATAGGGAGTAGTAAGGAGAAGGCGATAATATATTTTAGTTTATGACGCGATACGTTATAGTCATATGTTTTTTCGTCTTAAGTGATATTCTCAAAGGAGCAGATAAGTGTATATGAATGTGTATGCACCAATACTTTCTTTATAAACTTGCATTCAAACAAAAATAAACTTCACTAATATATCATTTTAAAAGAAATTTTTAGCTTTCAAAACGAATCTATTTTCAGATTAGAAATCCCCATACCCGATTTAAGAAAGATCAAGTACTTGTAAAAATGCAACAAAAGCTAGTTTCTCAGTGTTATATACCTCCTTTTATGTCTTGTGAAATATTTCTGAAGTTACAGTTTTAGTTCTTAAACGATGTCCCAGGTGATTTATGTCAGTAAATGCTGTATTGTAATTCTCGTGAGCATAAAAACTTACATTCTTACATGACAGTTCAACGTAAAAATATTTCAGTAAGTTTAGACATTTATGAAGGTTAATCATTACTAAAGTAAAACTATTATTTGTATTTTTTTCCCACATTTCGTAGTTTTATAGCACAGAGGTTTCCCTTTCTCAATCTAAATTTAACCGAATCATTTCAAATTCTAGACTTGTTTCATCTAAATTGCAAAGTGCTATTATTAAAAATAGAATATTCTGCAAAAATTTCAAATCTTAACGTTTAAAACTTAACAAAATTAGTTTCCCAGTGTATTTATTACTATACTTTTTTTTATTTCATTTTAATTGCCGACCAGGTGGCTGAGTCAATGCCTCCTATAACTGAAAGCCTCCACACGGATTTTTATAGGTAGTCCGAGCAGACCACTGTGAAGGATATTCACTTTCTGAACAAGCCATATAATACAAAATCTAGTTAAAATAAGAAAGTGGTAGCAAATATATGACTAAAAATTTGTTTTATTTATGAATATTATTGGTTTGCCTCATTCACTTGTCAACCACTACAGATTCAATTCTCAAATATATATTATATATTTCTCTCAATTATTTTTATTAAAGGTTCTGGGTTCATGCACACAACTGGCTCCCTATTTAAATAGTCTGCGCGGACTACTTATAAAAGATAGTGTGGATACTTTCCAATATAGGAGGTGATGGCTGAGTGGTTAGCGCACTGTGGAGCTGATGGTAGCGGGTTCGAATCCCACTCAGGGCATGGATGTTTCTTTCTCTCTGTGTTCTATGTCCTTTGTGCGATTGTGTGAATGCGACCCGCCCTATAAACGGGTTTGTGGTTGTGTGACGTGGACGACGCTACTCCACCACCGTGGCTTAGCCATTGGTGCCCACTGGGTAACGATAAGAAAGTAGCAATTCTGGCATTTCTGAGGCCAATGGGAGATAGACCCAGGTGCCCACCATTGAAAAAAAATTCATTTTAATTCAAATTTAAAACCATATTTATTTCATAGATCTTGTACCACTAATATACATGAACATAGATATCATTAAAAGTACTCTTCTCTCTTTTAGTGTGCTTACAAATGGAGAGAGGTATATTTGCATTAATAGCACCAACAAGTGATCCTTCATATGACACATTTGCTGCCTATTCAAACACATTCCAGATGCCATTTGTTAGTCCAGCATTTCCGCAACAAACGAGCTCCGACAGACCAGCCAATATTGGGGTTAGTTTGAGGCCTAAATATCTAAGAGCAGTTGTAGATATCATCAATTTCTACAAATGGAAAACGATCATCTATCTTTATGACTCCGATAATGGTAAGCATTTAAGTAATTTATTAATCATTGTTCACATTTGTAATTTAAAATAAATGGGAGGTTATGAATAATTCTCTGGATAATTGTACCACTGAATACAGTTGAATTCCTCTCAACCGTTCACCATTCATTTGGATTTGTTTCAATCAGGTTATTCAAAGTTAATTAATCGGATTAAATTTTGGTGAAGCACGATAAGTTACAAAAGTATTCAGGTAAAGAATGGTTTCTCATTGTGGGTATTGTTTGATATGCAGTATAAAATGGGCAGATAAGTCTGAAATGGTTGTCAGATTTGATCATAATTGGAAAATTAAATTGAAATATTTGCATTAAATTAAAATTCTTAAGGTAGCTTAAATATTTCGTAAGAGAATGTTAAATAACATTAACCCCTTCAAGCAGAGATTTTTTGAAAAAAAAACAAACAAAAAAAAATCAGTTTTTTTATGTAAAAGAACACATTTTAGAACATAGTCTTTTCTTTTGGTACTGCGCTTTTGTTCTATGGAAAAAAGCTATATTCAGAGATGCCAACTGCTCCGTACACGCCAAAATAATTAAAAAATGGTAAATAACTACAAAGAAAATTTTGCAAATATTTGACAATTTTCTTTCTTTTTCTTGATTTATAAGAAATTGGGCACCTGGGCCGCACTGAAGGCCCATATCCCATACATCAAGAAATAGTATAAAAAGTTTAAATAAGTTTGAGTTCAGCAGTCTATGGGGTGACTGTTACAGGAAGACAAGCACCTTGCTTGCATAACTGAAAGAAAATAAAAATAATAAGAGCAACTTGCTGTAATTTGACAATTTCCGCTTACTTTTTAAAAGGTATAGCAGTGGTGAATAATATAAGCCTACGAATTATTTAGAAATTGTGGTGGATAGAAATCTACTAAATTGAATTTATTAAACCATGAATAACAATTGATAAACTACCACTTTAAAATATATATTTACTGTCCTGAGCAAGTTGGCATCTCTGTATATTTTATCCGTGAATAAATAAGTGTTATAGCTTACAATCCTATGTAAATGATAAATATCAATAAAACGATTTTTTGTCTTAGCTTTCACATTGTTATTTTCAATTCTCGATTATATTCGAGTGAGAAAAATTATAACAACATAAAATACAACTCCGCTCAAATTATCTCGAGTGTGCACAGTTTAGCCTGTTTAGAGTTCTCGAACTAACTCGAGCGCCCAAGTTAAGGGGTAAAGGACAAATAAATATAATTTAACCATTTATTAACTATATTTATAATGTTACCCAGTAAGTGTACCTTACTTTGGTAATAAAATCATCAAAAGTTACAATACAGGAGCAATAAAATACTCAACGGAAATCACGCACGCCATCCTTCAAGAAATCTAATCTAATATGGATTCAGTTGGTAGTAACATGTTGGTCTAGTTCTATTCATTTCCGCTTGAAAGCTTCATTTCCTTGACAACAAAAGACATCGAACTTCACTCCTGCCGACTACTCCGTTGTGTCTCGTGATCTCCTATAGATGAAAGAAAAGGCAAAAAAGTATTTATGAAACCTTTTGATCTTAAAGATCTAAGTGATACCCTTCAACACCAACCAAGACATTTTTTACTAAAGATACGGATTCCGCTGATATTTCTATATTTAATAGAATTTCTATTAATATTTAGATAGAACTCCAGACAATTGACAGTTTGATCTCATATACAATATATGTTGAAATTATTTATATGTAGAGGTGGACAAAATAGTTTTATTTCTAATTAAAAAAAGTATTGCTATATTTACCATTTCGTTGCCACAAGAAAAAATATTTTCTAAAATTTTATCGAATTTTCCGAAATTTCCGAAAAACTGAGACTTATCCTGCTAAATTTTTTTCGAAATTTCCGAAAAAATATTTTCGGAAATTTCGGGGTTATATTCGAATAATTAATGAATTGTTTGAGGCAAATTGATGCTTCTTAAATATGACCTACATAAAGCTGAAAAGGACTAGGTTCTTAACCCTTTGCACTCTGATGTCACCTCTAAGGCGCAATCTACAGTTGCCCCTCTAAAATTAAAATTCTTTGCCCTTTAACCCATTCGCGCCGACTGTCACAAATACGTGCCAGCATAAAACATTATCAATCAGGGTAAAAAGATAAAATTGGTAATCAAAGTATTTATTTAGCAGTTCATTTGTGGTCGGAGTTATAATTGTTTGATTTATTTAATTCGCCATTACTTTGTTCAAAATAAAACTATTTGGTTATACTTTGAATAAACATTGATTATATATATGATTAAACTAACAATAATTAAAATAAAAGCAAAGTAAGTCTGTCAAATTAGCAACGCCTACATTTAAGTTACCGTTTTTTATTTAATTTCAACTTGATTCTGATTTTGTAAAAATGCTTTTCTGAATCACCCGTCCCCAAGGGATTAATAACTAAGAACCACATTATTTCTATATTTTTAAAAATTATATAAAAATAATGTATTGTGTAATTAAATGATTTAGTGCTTATATTAAATTACAGCATTTTAAGGTACCCGGAATGCGAAGGGTAAAAACAAACATAACTAACTCCTTCAACACAACTACATTTGGATGTAACTTAAATTACATTTGCCATTAACACCTCATATAACATAAATAGGTCTAATAGCAGGATAAGTCTCAGTTGAAACTAAAGCTACAACTTTTCCTTATACTTTGGCGGATTGTAGTCGTTGTTTCTGTCGGCCATTAAGGCAACTGGGAGTGGTTGTTCTTGTTTCCCAGAGGCACCATCTATGGCCAGGAATTCGACTTCTGCCACATGCATACGTCACATCCGTTTATTGGGTGGGCCGATTCTTACAAGCATTCATTCATCCACAAATCTTAACTTGGAACTGAGCCAGAGAACGATCAATCTCCAATTCAGTACCCCCATAAGTATAATTTGTTATGAAAACATGGAGGACTTTGCGACTCGAAATATTTAACGTGCACCGGTTCTCATTTACTACACGGGGAGTCTTCAGCTGGCAGGATTCGAACTCCCGTTCTCCCAAACGTGAGGCCAGCTACCTACTAACCAGGCTATACCGGCCCCTACTTAGAGGGTTAAAAATCTAATTCTGTCTTTAAATAATTATTGATGCTTTTTTTTCTTTTCCGTACCATTTTTACAAAAAAAATTACTCTACTTTTTAACATTTCTAAGCAAACATAAATTTTAAAAGAAATCTGGAAAATGGAGTATCGGAAAGTTTGTAGCTACAGAATCTGCAACAAAAATAAAATAGCATGTTTCTTTTTCCCCTTGGGGACGGTTGATTCAGAAAAGTATTCTTGCAAAATCAGATGCAAGTCGTAATTAAATAAAAAACGGTAACTTGAATGTAGTCGTTGCTGATTTGACAGACTTAAGTTGCTTTTACTTTAATTATTGTTAGTTTAATCATATATATAATCAATGTTAATTCAAAGTATAACTAAATAGTTTCGTTTTGAACAAAGTAATGGTGAATTAAATGAAACAAACAATTATAACTCCGTCCACAAATAAACTGCTAAAGAAATACTTTGATTAACAGTTTTATCTTTTTATCCTGATTGGTACGGTTTTATGCTGGCACGTATTTGTGACAGTCGGCGCGAAAGGGTTAAACAACTATTATTATTATTTTTTTTTTTTGCTTTACAGTAACTATTCTCCAAAAGAAGTCCTTTTTTTACTTTTATAAACAAAAAGAAGTTATAAATTTCTGGTAAGTTGACCTCTGGAGCGTTTGTAGCTGCAGATTCTACAAAAAAAATAGCATGTATCTTTAAATATTTATGATTAATTTCTTTCTTGTTTGGTTTTCAGCACCTATTCTTCAAAAGAAATTATTTATTCTCTTTTTATATTAACAAACAGAATCTTAAGAAGTAAAAATAAACCGGAGATCATTAATCAATCTGATACTACAGATTCTGCAACAAAAATAAAATAACATATTAAAGTATATATTTATTTTTATTTTTAGTCATAAAACAGTTTTTTTTTGATGTTTAAAAACAAAGAGAAGTTATGAATTTTAGGGAAATTTGTCACTGGAACTTTATTAGTTGCTACTGATTCTACAACAGCAAAAAAAAAAAACACGTTTCTTTGCATAATTATCATTATTTCTTTTATTTATTCTTTCTTGGTTTTTAGTACCCGTTCTTCAACTGTCTTTTGTTATTTTATATTTAGAAACATAAATAAATTGGAATTTCCGGAAAATTGAGTACCACAACATATGTAGCTACAGATTCTATGAAAAAAATAAATCAACCTACTTTTCTTTTTTGGTTTAATAAATCGTTTCTGAAAAATCTTAGCACCATTTTTTAAAATTTACAAACAAAAGCAGATTAAAACGATCTGGAAAATTAAGCACCGCAACATTTGTATCTACAGAATCTTCAACAAAAATAAAATAATATGCATATTTAAATATAAAACTGGGTTTTTTCACAGTACTTTTTACCTCAAAAACCAAAAAAAACTGCTCTTTTTCTGCATTTAAAAACAAAGAGAATTTATAAATTTTAGGAAAATTAGTTACTGGAACGACAGTTGTGGACGCCAAATTTACAACAAAAAATAAAACTTATTAATAATGATTACTATTTCTTTCCTTTTTGGTTACTAGAACCTGTTCTCCATAAAATTTTAAAACTGCTTTTTTTTCGTTTTATATTTAGAAACAAAAATAGACTGGAATTTCAAGAAATTCGAGTATCACAAGATCTGCAGCAATATATTCTACAGCATAAACAAAATAACCTATAATTATCATTTTTCATTCCTATTTGTTTTACAGTACCTCTAATCTAAAAAAATCTTAGAGCTGTTTTTTGACATTAATAAACAAAAACAAATTGAAATTTCAGGAAAATTTAGTTCCAGAGCTTCTGTAGCAATGGATTCGTCAAAGTAAAAAAAATGTGCTTCAAGATTTACGTAAAGATGAAAGCACATCTAACTCGCATCACCCGGCAATGAATATTTATAAAATAACCTACCATTAAACTGATTGGCAGAAAAGGATGCAGAGAAAATAATTATGTTACCAGTACTTCATGGATATTATGAGACCTTAATTCATGTGAAATAATTTTAGATACATAAAATTAGCTCATCATTAACGATATAGTGGGTGAAAGCATCAAATCTTTACACTAATAGCTTCATGGAGATAAAAATTTTCACGTCATAAAAACTCCAAAGCACTCTTTAACAGCTATTAAGGCTCTATTAATGGTAGTACCAATTTATGAAGCGAACCTCTTTTCAACCTCTTCCACATAATTAACGTTCAAGCTTTTTATTCAAGAAAATTCTTCGCATAATTTGTGGATGAGAAAATGAGGGGAATCAATATACGCTTTCTTTCACTGTTATCTTCAAGATAGTAGGAGTATCTAAAATAATTTTTATCTTTTATCGTATTAATATTTCTGTAAGAGTCAATTCTAGCCATGCAAATCAGGACTGTCAAAATATTTAAGCAATATATATATCAGGGTCCGTGAAAGAGTAAAAACTGGTAGTGAAACTGCGTTATTTATAGCTGATTATCGGGAAAAAAAGTGATTATATGTGATTGTAATGGCATATTAACTGGGGAATCAATATATGTTTTTTTTTTCACTGTTATCTTCAAGATAGTAGGAGTATCTAAAATAATTTTTATCTTTTATCGTATTAATATTTCTGTAAGAGTCAATTCTAGCCATGCAAATCAGGACTATTAAAATATTTAAGCAATATATATAACAGGGTCCGTGAAAGAGTAAAAACTGGTAGTGAAACTGCGTTATTTATAGCTGATTATCGGGAAAAAAATTGATTATATGTGATTGTAATGACATATTAACTGGGGAATCAATATATGTTTTTATTCACTGTTATCTTCAAGATAGTAGGAGTATCTAAAATAATTTTTATCTTTTATAGTATTAATATTTCTGTAAGAGTCAATTATAGCCATGCAAATCAGGACTGCTAAAATATTTAAGTAATATCTATATCAGGGCCCGCAAAAGAGTAAAAACTGGTAGTGAAATTGCTTTATTTATAGCTGATTATCGATTCAAAAATTGATTATGTGTGATTGCCGTGGCACATTAACAGGGGAATCAATATAGGTTTTTTACTCTTCAAGATAGTTGCAGTATTTAAAAAAAATTTTATCTGTTACCGTATTTATATTTCTTTACGAGTCAATTTAAGCAATATAAATCAGGTTTGCTATTTATCCTCAAAAGAGTAAAAAAACTGGTAGCGAATTTGTTTTATTTATAGCTGATTATCGGGAAAATTTTTTATTTATTATATGTGACTTCCATGGCACATTAACAGGGGAATCAAAATAAGATTTTTTACTCTTCAAGATAGTTGCAGCATTTAATATAATTTCTCTCTGTTACGGTATTTATATTTCTTTACGAGTCAATTTAAGCAATATCATACCTGGTAACTTTTAATCCCTTCCATTATCATTTTTCCCAGTGGTATTAAAATGGAATTAAAACTTCAATTTTAATCAAACAAATACATTGTATTTGAGAAAACTTAAGTTGACAACCATGATAGTAACGCATATTAATATATGTGCTTAATTTTTGTAAGAATAGTGGTGATCAATATCATTTAAAAATTAAGATTATAAAAAAAA